TTGTACTTGCACTCAGATGTACGTCCTTTGGACAAAAGCGTCTGCTAATTTGAAGAGGAATCATTTCAGCGTGAGCTGCATGTTTACTGTTTCACAAACTCTCTTGGCTTTTTTAGGTCTCAAAACACAAGTCAGTTTAGCTTCCACAACTGAATCTCATTCTCATTTTTTTTTTATTGCAGCTAATTAATAAGCCTTGGTTGTCATTGTATTACCTTTTATCTCATCAGTACTAACCCTTGGCTTCTGTATTTTCCAAACAAACACATTTATTTTTTACTAAAAACAGAGCATGATGTTGAACTTAAGGCCTTAAAACAGCTGTCCTTTAACCACTGGGTGATGTCACTGAGGCTCAATCTACTCCATGTACTCTGTATGCTCCCAATAGTCATGGAGACATACTGTGTGCATCATGTCGGAAAAATAAAACACTGATTTAAGACGAGCATCTAGGTAGGAGGTGGCATTTTGTCTTTTTAGATTGTGCCCTACCTGTCCCCATTGTACATTACATTCACTGTTTTATCTTTTTTTATTCTTTTGATTCTATATTGGATTTCTTTTATTCCTCTGTCAGTGAAAGGTGATACATAAATAATCTTTGCTTTCTTACATCTGAGGCAATATGTAGCGGATGACAGAATTTATTGTCCAATAATCTTGTTCTTGTCAAGTGTTCGACACAACCTTTGGATGCTCGCTGCAGATTCCTGCTGTGCAATTTAACTTCACACAGAACGAGCGGCAGCTAAAATAAGAAGAGAGAGAATCAAGTGTGTGAAGTCCAAACCTGGGCTTTGTCACAGCATGACGCCGGGCTCTCTCCAGGGATCGGTCCCTGAAAGGCTGCAGCCTGCGGATCACTCCGAGGTATTCACCGGTGCTCGCCAAAGGGAATGTCAGCATATCAATTACATCTGTGTAGACATGAAAACAGCAAATGATTACATACAGCTCATAATAATATCAATATATATCATGATAAAGATTGGATGTTAAAATCACAATGATTGTTCTGACCTGACTCATGTGGACACTGAGTTCTGTTTCTGCTCATCCGCCACATGAGGTGAGCAGACCATGAAGCACACGCAGTGGGACGTTTATTTGGATATATCTGCAGCACTTTATAAACCTTCAACCTGGAGGAGCCCTCGTGCGTCCTGGGTTCACTGCTTTCATCAAGATGTTCCAACAAAGCACGGACAGACGCTTTCTGTGCGTCCAAAACTCTCCTGTTGAAAAAGTCTTGTTGATATAAAATGGACGGAGGCAATCTGAGCAGCACCCGGTGGATCCTGGAGACTCCGGGCGCGCCGCCGATCCATCTCCTCCTGAAAACGACAAAATCTGTCTTCTTTAATGTGGAAACCACCACCTCCACAGCGAGCCGACACGGCCTGGAGCACCGATAGTGCACACGGACCGCTGAGCCATCCACCACTCTGTCAGGCGCTGAGTGAAACTCTATGAAATTGTCAGGCCGGCTCTCAGCAGGCCGGGCTGAGGAGGTCGAAATGGTTTTGGACACGCACACGAGTGCCTGGGTGAAAGAAAAGAGGAGGGAAATAAATACAGACAGAGAAAATAAAGAGAAAAACAGGCAATCTTTTTTGCCCAATCGAATTGCAAGAGGACATTTTCACGTCCGTATTAACTGATGTTTTTGGGGCTTGGGGCAAAAAAAAAACAAGCTGTGAACGTGGCACATCATCACCCACAGCCTTGATCCATCGCTTTCCAGTGTGTTCCTGTAGTTTCTCATCCACTCAGGAAAGTATCTGTTGGATTCTTCTTAAAGGCTTTATATGTGATTTTTTGATCCAGCAGATGTCGCCCTTGAGCACAAGCATGAAACCAAAACAAGTTGCGCTGCATTCTTGTGTTAGCATGCTAATGCTAGCGATCTTTATTATGCTGGTATCTTCACACTGCATGTAAATTTACCTGAAATGAGCGTGATCTAGAAACACAGTTAAGCAGTGAGTACAGTATGTTATTCTTCTTTTCTCTAGTCCCTCAATTAAACAACTTTTAGACGTGAGGGGAGGAGTCAGCCGGCCGTCCGGGCGATGTAAACAAACTTAAGATAGGACTCAGAAAGCATCACAGACAGTGGGACTCGGGTGTTACACCCATTGTAGACAGTCATGACTCAGAGTTATTTTCAGAGGATATACTTGATTTCTATTATATTTAAGTGTGAAAAATCACATATAAAGCCTTTAAAAAAGGTGGAGATGTAAACAGATACTAATCTGCCAAACGAATGAGGCAGAAGACATGATTAAATGACATTGCTGATTGCAAAATTTCAAAATATAGATATTTTTTAAACCATGCAGACAGTTCATTTGTGGTTCATTACCAGTCCACATACAGGTATATCTGTAGAGGACTACGTGTTTTATGTATATGCTGATAAGAAAAGAGAGCAGAGAGAACTGTTATAGTTCACAGTCTGCAGCACATGCAGCATCACAGCTGAACAGACGGTAACCTTTATTTGTAGTCAGTTCCAGTCTGTTTGTAGAACGTGTTGTATCGTTCTCTAGTGTTTCTGCAGGCACTGGTTGTATAATCGGAGAACAGTCTGTGTGGAGAGCAAGTGTGTATATTTAGGATGGACTGAGCAAAAGCTTGTAGTGAAGCCATATTATTTAGATATTATACAGCATAATGTGCTGACTGGCTGCAGTGCAGGTCATAAACTTTTGCTTTCTCAATGACAACAGATGGGACATGCATGGGTCAAATATTTTTTTAAAAGCACTGAATACATTTTCTCAAATATTGTGTCATCAGGAGTTAGTCACATTTCTCCCGAGAAGTATCTTTTTTGTTCATTATTTGATGCTATAAAACGGTATAAAATGCCATGACTGGCAGTTCTGTTGTGGAAGGTACAGTGAGTTACTGCTTCAGACCCAAAAAAGAATTTGTTCTGCTGTGGACTGAACCCACCTGAGGGACTTGTGCCGTGTTCTTATCAGTAAGTTAAGTTTTCCATAGCGGAGGCGTGACGTCAATACCGCGGCTCTTCCAGCTGATCCCTACAGCGCACTCATGGTTGTTAATTTTCAATATGTCAGCACCTGTTCCAGGCTGAGGTATGCTGTCCCCTAGTACATCTATATGCTTCAAACATCAAACATGATCAACCATCACAGCTGGAGCTGCTTTTATTCACTCTAGATCCTTATTGACCTCAAAGTCTGTCAGGCTCGAATACAACCTCAGATCAAGTTTCATACCTTTGTCTTACATAACAAAAGAAACCTCTTAAAGAATGTTGTACTGAACCCACAGCATGAAGTCATCCCCAGCCTAATGAACAGAGGTAACGCACAATAACATGCGCGGCTAACATTTTTTGCAAGTCCACTAAAAAATTCCCGACATGCAGGCTAGTGTTGGACATTGTGGGTCTGGTGTTGTTAGTACTAAGACAATAGAATTTACTGTATAATGGTATGAAAGGATTCTAACGATGGAGACAAACTAGTTGGTTCAGAAAAAAGTACCCTTTACTGATGTTTTTTTAAATTAACTTTTACGACGGACTGCATGCAGTGGATGGATGTCTTAAAAGGGCTGATCATCAAGTTTTACACATTCAGCAGTCTGACACAAAAACATGATTCAAAGGTAAAGGGTTTTTTGTGTCAGGCCCATAGACTGTTAATAGGCCCAATGTTTAAAAAAAAAAAACTTTACACACAGCTTGGCACATTTACTCACTGTAAAAAACAACAACAGATAATTAACACTTGAAACTGGAAGATCCTTGAATTTAGCTCCGACATAAACACATAAAAGTTGAATTTTAAGCTGACATACATCACATATTTTGTTTTACTCAGTTTTTCAATGTTTGAGTACATTTTGGTAGGTTTCTCAAGATCTCCACTTATATATCACCGTCTCTCTGAATAACATCGCTGGGTTTCCTTTGATAACTAGTTTATTTCTCTCAAGGTCTAAAAAAAAAAAAAAAATGACTAAATTAACCTATGGATGATTGACACCCATCGATAGTGAACTAAGGAGATGAATAAGTCAAGATCTCGAGTCAACAACTGAAATTTACTCATAATCACAGAAAAATGGAGTTAAATCAAATGTTTACATGCATGTTCTCATAAGGCTTCAGTAATTTTTTACTAATGTTAAATACATTAACGTGATTAAAAATGTGGTGATATAACCGTCTCCTGGGGAAGATGTCTGTCATGCTAAAGCTAGTTCTTTAACACTGTCTGCTGAGCACACACTGAACAATGGGCTCACCTTCAAGAAATCAAACAGAAGATTCTTACCAATATCACAGCAGCAGAGAAGACGCATCTCAAACTGACGGAGCTGAACACTTTCATTTTGAAGTTTTCTTCCTAAAGCTGAGTAAAAAAGGGTCACAGTAACATGTTATCCTTCATTGTGAATTCATTCAGCATGAAGTCAGTAATGTGTCAAATGTTGACATGTGGCAGTACACTTCCTAAACAAGGGCAGGGTTACCTGTTTGACTGGTGTTGCAAGTGTGGTTATTTACATAAGCTGTGTTTAAAAGGGCAACATGCAGTACAACAAAAAAAACCCACTTGATTGCCCCTGTTAATGCGTGAAGTTTAAACATTTGATTCTTTTTTACTTTCAGGGAACTTAAATGTGAGCCTTGCATCAAAAGCTCAGACTCTAAATTAATTTGATGCTGTCATGTCAGGGCCTTAGCATCGATCAGTGTTCTCATCGGCGTACTCCCACACAAGACTTTGAAGACATATGATCTTAAAAAACAAAACTGATACTGAAGCCGAAGCTAATAACCCCGACAAGCTGCTGACTATTTATGCTTCAGAGTCAAGGGCATCAGTTACTGTTGCTGATATGTTGGATGGACGCCATCTTGCTGTGTATATAAACGCTGCTAGCAACAACTAGATGGCATGACACACCTTTCACCTTTCTCAGACACAGAACTGATTTTGTCATATTCAATGGCTTTACAGGACTTGTGCAAATGCCGGGACAACTTTCTGGACAGCTTCACCACTTTTGGAAAGAAGACTGGATGTAATTCTGTGATTCCTTTTCCAGATGGAACAAGTTGGTTTAATTTCTATACACCAGTTGCAGGGTACCTCGATGAAAGTCCAATACAGTTTGGGCAGATCAGACCCGTCCAGAACTCCAGTGACATCTTTTCTCAAGACTCCGTCGCACCCTCCCTCTCCTCGCCGACCAACCTTCCCCTATCCTCCTCTCAGTCCGTCCCTCTTCCTTTCCCCATGTCTCACGGCACCACCACCCTGGCTTTCATGTTCCAAGGCGGCGTGCTGGCCGCGGCGGACACTCGTTCCAGCTGCTCGGGGCTCGTTGCGTGCCCGGCGTCCCAGAAGATCCTGCCCATTCACAGCCACTTGGTCGGCACGACCTCGGGCACTTCGGCCGACTGCGCTCTTTGGAAGCGGATTCTGGCTCGGGAGCTGCGGCTCTACCAGCTCCGTCACGGCCGACGGCTTTCCACGAGAGGAGCGGCCAAACTGCTCTCCTACATGCTTCACCCGTTTAAGGGGACCGAGCTGTGTGTGGCAGCCACGCTGTGTGGGTGGGATGGAGGAGAGGACGATGGACGCCGTGACCATGTGGGCGCCAAGATTGATTGTAGAGAGATGAGTGGTCTTGGAAAGCCTGTGGATACAAGTGTTGAAGAGGCGTCTCAGGCAGAGACAAAGACTTCCTCTTCAACAAATCTCAGAAAGTCAGAAAGTTTCTCTGGACCCAGTTTGATCTACGTGTGCAGTGACGGCACTCGCCTGCAGGGAACCCTCTTCTCTGTGGGCTCTGGATCCCCATACGCCTACTCCATTCTGGACCAAGGGGTTCAGTGGGGACTGACGTTGCAGGAGGCCACAGCAGTCGCCAGAGAGGCCGTGTACAGAGCGACGCACAGGGACGCTTACTCAGGAAACTGTGTGGACGTCTATCACATCTCGTCAAAGGGATGGACCCGCAGGAGCAGGGAGGATTTGAAAGAGGAATATTACAGAGAAAAGAGAAGACAAGAGAAGAGGGAGAAACAGGAATGTGACTTTGTCTGTGTAAAAGACTTGAAACAAACAAAAATGGAATGAGAAAAGAAAAGCAAACATCGGGGAGTATTTGAGAGACATGATAGCATTTTTTTTTTGCAGCAGACACTAAATTAATGAACAGGACAAGAATTTGCATCCTCCAGGCGATTCCTCCAATGATTTGAGCATGCATACCATTCCCTCTAATAAACAGCTGATGTTTTTGTTTGCGCTGAGGATAGAATGTATACTCTAACAGCGCTCTGCTGGCTGGCATTTCGATTAAGATGTTAAAACATAATGAATCATTTCAAGTAGGCTGTGTGAGATAATTATAAACCTACTCCTGCAGGGGTTGGACGCACATAAACACAGACAGAAGCAGAAAAAGAAAAGCTTTAATGGTAAAAAAAAAAAAACTGAAATGTCTGGAGATTGAGGGTTTTTAATGTACTGCTGCGCATAACGGGGGCTAATTTAGGTGAAGCGATAAACAGTCAGGAGCTGAAAACTTGATTTGTGTCCGCTGTCAGATTTCTGAGGTTTCTTTGACGCTTCGATAAATTAATGAATTTGCTGAACCTGCCTGTTCATTCTGTGTGAGCAGCCTGGTAGTAAATTAAGAACACAAGTCATTCTCGCAGTGACAAAGGCTGCAAAAGGATATGAGGGGCAAGAGGTGTGAAGCTGTTTGCCCTCATCCCCGCTCTCTTTTCTAACCCGAGTTTGGACAGTCTGAGTACAGTGGTGAAACTTTTCAACGGTGAGGAAATGTATCACATTATGGGAGGAAGCTTTTAGCATATCGGTGATGCAACATATCACAATATTTGAGCTGTAGTTTTTAAAACCTGCGCACATATCTTAGGGTCTTCATTATGTTTTGGAATTGCTGTTGTTGATTACTTCAGCTGTCAGTGGTGAAACATGGTGTAAAACGGCCAACCAAGGCCTTTTTCACATGCGCCCCTGAAAATGTCCTGAAATTTCAGATCGGCTGCCCTGAAATCTTTTCAACTTGCCAGATCAGGTCAAAATGCTCCAGCAACACTTGTAGCAAAAAGATCAACTTTATTAACAATTTAGACCGACGCGTTTCGCCTCGTGGCCTTCATCAGGGTCATCAACAAACAGATTAACAAACATCATTTACATAGGGTAGGTACACAATTGAAGGAAAGGTCAGAAAAATTCAAAAAGGTAGGGACAACCAATTAAATGCCTCCACATGTGTTTATCAGCCAATACGGCACATGCCTGGTTTGCCTGATCACACAATCACCTCACAGTGCGGAGACTCTCCCTGTCAGACGGGAGTGGGTGTGGTCTCAGGGGCAGGACATGCTGGTAAAAGTATGCCAGGGAAATGACGGACAAAGCGTCAGAGCAGGACAGTATAATGGCATTTTTTTTTGTATATCCCTAAATGTATGAAAGAGTGGAGAAGAACATACTGGCGAGTACAAAACATGATGAAGCAGTTTCATTACATGCATGAAGGTGGCACATTGCACCATGCATGGCGCACCATGCAGCCCTGACTTCATGCAGATGTTTCACTAGGAGGTTGGCAGGGAAAATCCCATCTTATTTGTGTTCACACAGGCAGCTCATCCCACACATTTCAGGAGTTTTTGAATGTGAGAAAACACCAAAAGAGGCTCAAATAGTTATCATAAGGGTCTGAAAACATCTCAGAAAGGAAAGCTACAGAGGATATCTTTTTGTTTTAGACATCATTTTTTTTGTAAATGGAGTCTGGTGGCTGTGAAGAAAGTTATGTAACACAGCTGGTTGTGGTTTTCAAAATAAGTACACCCCATGATAGAAGGTTTCTCTTTGCAGGTATCCTACTCTACAAATAATCATCTAGCCATCAGTGCCAAAAAATGCTCTTTGAGAGGACGCACTTTGATGTGGTCATTTCCTCCCTAAGGACGGTGTTGCAGCCTGCTCGCTGAAACAACCTACTACAGCAGCTCCAAACCTTTTGTCCCTATTAGTCACTTAGATCATAAAATATGTAAAAAGAAGAAAAAAAATACCCCAGCTCTATAAATACTGGAAGAACTCTTTAGGGTTTTATGTGCTTTTTTTTTTTTATCAAAGAGTGTTTTAAGTGTTTCATGGCTAATGCACTCATGCACATACATGTGCTATTAACTGTATGGAATAAATTAAAGGCATGCTTGCGTGAGGATGCTGAAAACATCTCTAGTGCAACATCAGAGAGCTGAGTGTCTTCTCAAACCTACGCAAGTGCTGCTTTATGACTGACTGCCGCTGAGAGAGTACGAGGGGAAAGCCTCCCATCCTCCCCAAACTCATCCATAATTCCCAGACTCGGAAGTTCATTAATGATAGAATTATTGAGAGAGTAAAAAAACAAAAAACACGAGGAAAGCAGTTCGGTGGTCCAGATTTGAAAAGTAGAAAGCAGGCTTGTCAGTACAAAACAAGTTCTGAGAACAAAAAAAGGAGTGAAATGTGATCTTTATCAAAGTTCTGCAAGAGGAGCTGCGACTCAGTGGGTGTTAGGCCTGCCTTTGCTCACCCTCTTCAAAGCGTATCCTTCAGCTTTTGCTTCTTCTCTTCTCACAGTCAAATTCCAGGTAAGAGCAAAGCAAACTCCAGCAAGTTTTGACCCAAGAAGTGAAATGTCATATCAGTACATCTGTGTTTGTTTTTCATTCCACTAGAAGAACTTTGAAAACGTGACCCAAAGCAGCTAGAAATCTGCCAAATATTGTTTGACAGCCGCGTCTAACAGTTGGAGCCGATAACATTTTTTTAAACTTGTAAATATGTCCCTGAATCGACTCACAGCCTGATGTTTGGATTGATCACAGCTTGACTTTGTTCTGTGCTTGCTCAGTAGGTTTTGTCATTAATAAACCTCCGTATCCAGCTGTGAACAAGGGAGCTGTGGAGTGACCTTGGGATTGCATGTTAGCTTTCTAGTCCTATCAATAAACTGTTTTTATTTGTTTTGTTTTTTTATACGCACCACTTGTTTTAAGGCTCTCGTTTATGAGTCAGAAGGCAGAACTCACAAATGATCAAGAAACAGTGAAGTGCAAAGCAAGGGTGCATTTCTTTTCTTTTTTTTTTTTAAGTTTTAAGATCCTCTGAAGATGTCTTTCTAACTCTGCTGAAACTACTACTTCATCAAAACATCAAATTCTCTTCAAATGATGAATATGCAAAGCATTTCTACGAGACACAAACATGTCTTCTCAAGGTGGCATGAAATGAACTAAGTCAAATCTGAAACTATTGCCTTGATTTATCTGAAGGAAGTCTCATGAAACTCTGATTCCAAACAGCATTTATATAGCTTCACAAGAAGACAAAGTATGACAAGATGCTGGTTTGAACATTCACCCTTCAGTATGTATTAAAAGAAAGAAAACTATGTTTGAAGTTTTTCAGAGACAAATAACTGGATTTAGTTTTATAAATCAGCCCAAAGTAAAGATTTAACGGAAGGCTGAACGGCAGAGGTTAGCATATGTTAAATTGATAATCAGTTTCCATGAAGAAGAAAAAAAACACTGTTCTATCTGTTCAACCCAATGGAAGAAAAATCCAATCAAATTGGGGGTAATTACAGGCATACATTGTAGACATGTTTTTTTAGCTAATGGTGGAATTTCATCTTTTAATGCATCCTTAAGTAGCAGTAATTTTCTGGCCCAGCTTCTGGGTGGAACAACTGGGAAAATGTTAGCGATGATTATGCAGACTGTCTGAATTAAAGAAGATTAAAAAGAAAACAATGGTTTGCTTGAAGGAGAAGATATAGCCAATAAGCAGAACATATTGAAGGGATTTCATTGTACATGATAAAAAATGAGATGATTAAAGAGCAAAGCTGTGATTTTTTTACACATCTAGTTTACAAACTGAGATGACCTTGAATGGTTACTTGTTAGTCTGGGTACTGTGCCTGTGTGGCACTGAGTGGTCACTGTGTATTTTCAAAAATAGCAGCCTTTTAGTGTGGCTATATCTGCACAGAGGAGTTTTAGTGCCAGGAATTATAAAAGAGATGTTTGTTTTTCATGATTTTTTTTCATGAAATGATTGGGTCAATACGGGCCTCACTAATAACTTATTATTGACATTTACATTAATGTCAATATGAGGACTTTTAATACAGAACATCTATTATAAAAAAAACAATGCTAAGGGAGGTTTAGAAGTCATGTCATTACATAATTTGTCCAGCAGAGGGCTCCCTGACGTCATAGTTTATAATACTTTTAGCACTGTCTGCAGCATCACAGGTGAGCAGATGTTGGTTTGCGCTAGAACTAGTTCAAAATAAGGAAAATAATTATTACTGAACAAAATCAAAGCCTGGTTCACTAAGAATGTATTTCAGCCACTAGTTCCAACAAAATATGCATAATGTGTTCCCCCTCTCTGATATTCCAGCACAAACATGCCCAACAGGCTGTCTTGTTGTTTGGTCTTGTCTTGTGTCTGAATGTGGAAAGAAGCTACCTGCACCTTTATTGATGGAGCTTAATTCTGTCAACATAAAGATGTTGAGCCAGGAGGGGAAGCTTTTGTCATGGATGATGTGAACATGTTATAGACTGTCTTTAATGTCATTATACAATGTACAACGAAATTATAAAGCTTCACCCTAAAGTTAAGGATAAAGTACAAATTTCAGTTGTATAGTCTTTATTATAGTCAAAATGTATTAGTCAAATAAGCTGCTGATCAGGTTGATAGGGGTCTATTACACTTATATTGGTACTGGCATTGTTTTCCTATATGCTGTGGCTGATAAGAAAACTTTTTTTTTTACAGAATAAATATACACACACACATGTATACATTGCAATAACAATGTTGAATGCATGGTAGTACTTTTTTCTACAAAACTGAATGTTAAGACTACCTTGTAGCAACTGCAGCACTGTGTGCTCTTCTTTGGCTCTCCTTTCTCTTTGCTGCTGTAACACTGTACATTTCTCTGTGGGATGAATAAAGGTTTATCTTATATTTACTCTCAGCACTGTCTGCAGCATATCAGAGAGAACAGCTGAGCAGAACAAAATGTCAATATATTATTTATTAAAGATATATGTTTAAGAAAGCAGCTTTCTGAACTCCATTACAGTCATATTCGAGTTAATTTGTTCCCCAATCCACATGGAAGGGTCCATTTTCATTCTAGATCAATCAGTCACTTAGGGGGTGCTATAGGTGAACAGTGCCATATTTCTTTTGTCCAGACTTAAAAAACTAAATTCTGGCAGGCTGTGGACAAAATTCTGAAAAATACAGCCAAATGTCAAAAAGGAGAAAACATAGTGGGGAAAAAAAAATCAAAGGAGGGACATTTGTTGTGTACTTATCCCTGGCATTAAAACTGGGCTACTTGTTTGTTCTTGACATTTCAGCTTTGCACTCTTGAGTCTGACTTCACATTAAAACTATAAAACAACTTTGTCCTCTGATTAATTCTTTTTTAAATGTAAGTAAAAAAACACAATCCTCCCCCCTCTTTTTCCTCCCGTGTGCCTGGCACTAAAAAGACTTCCATTCCAAACTAAAATGGTAAATTGTCAGCGTGGCCAGATGCCTGTATGTGTGGTACTCTGTGGTCCCTCTACCGTCAAAAATAGCATGCTTTTATGGTGACTTTCGTCTCTCTGATAGTTAAAGACTAATGGAGAGAGAAGAAGGGAGAGATACACAGAGAGCGAGAGAGCGAGAGAGAGAGAGAGAGAGAGAGAGGAAGGAAGAGAGAGAGAGAGAGAGAGAGGCTGAGCGGACACACCAAGATGAGCTCAGATGAACCTCGGCATCCTTTCCCACGTTGGATCATTTCAGCTCCGTTAAACCGGAGAGGCATCACCGGAGCAGCTCTGCAAACATAAACACGGTAAGCTCCATTCTTCTCCCCTAACTCACTTTATTCTAATCCTAACGAATCGCTAGATCATTTTCCCTCCAAAGCCTCTCCAATTTTCACTTCTCGGCTCTTACTTTTGGATGCAAGCTTTAAATGGTGCGTCTGTTTCCAACTGTTTAAAACCTCTCTCCTTCTGCTGCTGTTAAGGTGGAATAATAGCCGGGATATGAGAGACAGGTTTGGGTAAGAAACCCTCCTCTGAGTGTCTGAACTGAGCGCCAAGCTTTGACAGATGGTGCGGATAATAACGCCGAGCTTCCCGGCTCCTTTTCTTGGCTTGTGTGTTTGTGTGTGCGCTCTCACCGGGGGGACTCTTGCGCGCTAAAATGATGATCGGTAAAATGATGATAGGGTCGTCGGAACTCAGCTTGTAGCCGTCAGCAATGTTGTGGGACTGTTCCTTTCATTCTAATAGTTAGCCCAAGTGTGTAAATTACATTAACGTGCATCAAGTAGGTCATTTAGCCGGCTTCCTCTAACAAGACAAGGTCACGCTCCGGGCTGTTTGGTGTATCTGTACTCGATATGCTAATGAGCAGTCCAGATGTGTGTGCGTGTCTGTGGTTGAGTGTGTTTGTGTGTTAGAGAAACCAAAGAGCAACTGCAGAGAGTAATCATGAGACAGCTTTGAGAAATTTAATTATATTCTACAATAGACCTACCATTGTTTCCTTCTGACAGATTCTGATAGACCTAGCCTTCTTCCCTATGTTTTCCTGTGAGCTGAAAATATATATTACATACAGTATATATTTTTTTAACAATTTTGTAGAGCTACTGTTAACCCTGTAGGGATTTTATTGTATTACTAGCAGGAAACCAAGCAGTATCCCTCAGAGCATCAAAAATAACGCAAATGCAAAAGTGCATAAACTGTAGTTCCTCAAGTGGCCACTAGAGGCTGGTTTTGAAAGTGAGTCAATCTCATTGAAGCCCCATGCTAAATCTCCAACTTCACAGCAGAATAAAGTTGTCAAAATCTTTCAATACTTCATCATACCATGTGTTTTTTAAACAACACAACCTCTGTATATTTCATGAACAATAGTATTAAAACGGTGGGCCAAAGAGAGGACTGAATCCATCAAAAATTTGCTTGCAAAGTCCAGCACATGGTCCAGATTGCTCAAAAACATTGGCAACATTTCATTTCTGAATATACAATTTTTGATAGCTAAACTAAAAACAAAAAATTACTCAATAGCCTTAATTAATTTAGATACTTTAGTGTAAAAATTCTAAATACTGTGTCTTTAAATCCATTCCCAGTTCATGACAACTCAACAGTTGTGTTTTTAGTTCCTCATTATTCTTTAAATTATCCTTATTCAGGGTCTTGGCTGCTGTGAGTGACAGGTGGGCGATGCTGGCTGTCTGCTTGATGGCATTTAATCCAGTCACTGAGCTTAAACTCAGTAACATTAGTCTATTATAGGAGGCTATAGACAAATTATATTGCTTCCTCAGTGGTTAATTTGACTGTAAAGTATCTAGTTCTTTTTATTGGTAAGTGGAATTCTTATTTAATATTTACTGGATGTAAGCATTGTTCAGCAGGTAATTAGGATTGCTGTTGTTTTAAGTTACTCAGTTCATTCTGTTACCCATTGCTTGTCCCTTACTGCACTTTGGACAACCGTCAAGTCTGCTTCATTCAACAAATATCTAATTCAGTGGGTAACCCAATGGTTAACCAGTTTCTCAACCATACAATTTACAAGTCTTGGGCATAATGTTATGTTGTATGGATTTAATATCATCTAAGGATGGTAACTTCTCGCCCCTAAAAAAACCCAAAGTGGGGATGGGCAAAATGCAAGATTAAAGGCACTGATCAATCCAACGGGTGATCCATTATTTAAACATACCATGGTCCCTTGTCAGTCAAAGTGTGGGGAAAAACACTCTGGGTGCATTCTCAACAAAGTGGACTAATGTATTCCACCATGATAAATAATCAAATTGTAGAGAGTAAGAAAACTCTGTTGTAAAAATCACAGTTAACTTTATGGATAACAAGAGAAACAATTATTCTGTTTTTCACGTTAACCAATCAGTCATTGAGCCTTGGCATTTTATCTATTCTAATTTAAGTTAATTCATTAGACCATTCATAATGATCAAGGACTACAGATTATAAATGGTACATGACAATAACCTGTAAATGATTTACACACAATAATAAATAATCAGAAAATAATCATTTAAACCCTTTGGAAATGACTCCAAACATCTTTTAAATTAAAGTATTGATTTACAAGTTACACATTTAAAAAAAAATAAGTTGTTGTTTTGTGTTTTCAAATATTAATGAGAAAACACTCCTCTGTGACATTTTTCCAGCTCTGACTATTGCTACACTCTGCTACTGCACTGTTGTGGTTTGCTTTTGTCACTGGAAATCTTCTTCTGAGCTCTAAAACAGTAGCTGCCAGATGAAGTCAGTACTACATCCTTGGTGACATGATGGCACTACTTGCTGTGTAGCCGGCTGTTTGCAGAGCAGTAAAGAAGCTAACTGTTTAAAAATACTTAAAAGAGCCCATATTATGCCCTTTTTGGGGTTCGTATATTTAATCTATGTACCTACTAAAGTATGTTCACAATAGCTCTAAAGTTCTAAAAACGTGTCTGTTTTCATGTACTGCCGCTCCATGCACCGGCTCGCTTCTGACTCTCTCTCTAAGGCTCTGAAGTGCCCACGTTCAGAGTCCCCACGTGTGCCAAGTCTGATCTGATTTGTCGGCTCTGCCGTAATTGGTCAGTCGCTCAACCACTTTTGCTCCGAGGAGAGCAAAAACATTAGCACCTTAGCACTACTGTGCTACCGCAGGCTATGGCATATCGTGGGCGTGCTACAGAAGTTAACGGGCATACAACATGAGCTGCTGGGCTTGCCACAACAAGCCAATGGGCTTAGATCAGTGATATCACACTGACAAGACGTCACACTGACAACTTTTTTTTTCGAGGGGGGCTAGAACCGAGCGTTACATGCAGCTAACAGGAGGACATAGGAGAAGCCGTGTTTCCGCAGACTTTGAATTTTTGCACATAGATGTGCCTAAACATGCACAGGACACTTGGAAAACACACTAAAGAGCATATAAAACCAGAAAAAGCATAATATGGGCCCTTTATTACATTATGGGATTGGATTGTTACAGGTTGTATCCATGTTGTTGAGAGTGCGGGGCTGGAGAGGAGTTAGGGCTTGGCAAATGCTGAAATGTCAAAGTTATACTGGTATCCAGTCCATACTTTCACAATTCATATTTAGCTTAAATAAGAGTTTAAACAACTGTGTCATCAGCATATTGAGATTGTCTGAGTGCTGATGGGTGAACAAAGTTATTTAGACTGGTCAAAAACTAGCAGGAGTAACCAAAATTAACCAGGTTTCTTGTCTTAACAATACTTGTAAGCAGTGAAAAATTCTGTATTGCATGAATCAGTGTATGACAAACTCTGAACAAACTAACCATTCATATATAAAAAGGAATTAATTTATAACAATTCACTTAAATGATTAAACCTAAACCAAGACTTATTTGAAAGTCTTTTAGTGCTATATACTACAAAGCCAGGGATTTTCTTTGTGAATTATTGCTTAGAAATATCAGACATGTTTCATCATACATATTTTAAGATTTTCTATAATTTAAATAGGTGTGTTGTAAAAAAAAAAAAAAAATCACCCTCTACAGAAATGTTGTGGATAAATAATCTGGCTAAAAACAGCAAAACCATTTTTGCATCAAGCTGTAAACATGGCAAATTCAGCTGTTTAGTCTGACATATCACTACAGAGCCTAATGGGGATGAACTCACTCATGGAGCCAGCCTCAAGTGGCCACTTGAGGAACTGCAGTTTTGTCACTTCAGTTTTGGTTTAATTTTTTAAAGGTTGTAGATTGGCTAAATTAGAAGCATTTCTGTTCCTGGTTTTGGCATCTAATTTTTGTCAAAGAAGGAATTCTCATTTACAATTACTGACACATTAAAGAGCATCTTAAGCACTGAGGCTTTTTCATATGACAAATAATTACACGCCTGCTCAGCACATTTCTTACACTGCGGTATCACTTAAGGTTAAGCTGTCTGAATGTCAAGCCCTGACTACAATGAGGAGACTGATGTGCTGAGTGCACTGGGCCTCTCCCCACCAGTCTGATTTGGAAAGACTTAAGAGGTTTCCATGTGTGCACTAAGCAGCAGAGAGATGGGGAGCAAGGCAGAGATGTTCAAATGGAGCAGAATCTGTCCATGTCTGAGCCAGCCAGCCTGTCCCCCCTCTCTCCAAATGTACCTCTACCACCATCACCTCCCCCCCCCCCCACCCATTACCTCTCTGCCTCCAACTCACATTCCTCTCTATGTAAAAGGCCTGACATGCACAGGCTATTTTTAATAAAAATGAAATAGCCTTGTTGCAGTGAAGCGACTCGATGCGGAGTGAAGTGAGACTGAAACAGCGATTTGCAATTTAGAGCTATGTCACCACCCATCATTCCTTTCCTGAGCCGGCAACCAGCAAATCGTCCTCACGCTTTCATCCTCTATCCCTGCCTTACATTTCACACATATCTCATAAGCACTCACACTCTAAAGACTTCAAACAACAGTGAATGACATGTTCTGCTGGCAACGAGGTTTTGGAGCGCAAGCTAAGGCAGGCAGAGATGTAAGCCGCGAGAGCTCAGTCTATGCTAATACACAATAGCCGAGGAAGACAAAAGTGTTTTTTGGATGAAGCACTTCTTGTATTTTGTGAGATTTAAGGAGATGCCAAACAGATGCAGATGCTGAACATGGAGCATTACACACAGTATGAGGGGATTGCTGTGATTGGTGTGCAGAAATCAAGGCTGAATTTCTTTAAGAAAAATATATGCAATGAAAATAGATATTTATTAATATTAAATACAACCAAATGCACAAATTGACTTGATTTTAAAGCTTCTTTAGAAGAAAGCTTTTTGAGAAAGTAGGTCAGTATCAGAGTGTATAAGAACATTGGTTTCATTTTCATGTGTCCTTCCTTTCATATGAAGCATATCTTTGTGGCTGTATCTGAAAACGCTTTGGCTCATAGTACAGTGCCATCAAAGGCTTCTGCGTTACTATAGGCTCCCTGTGTGCTTATTTGCATTTAAATTAATCAAAGCACATGGTTCATTGTACATTTATTTAATCACACCACAGAAGAGGCTATGCACTGTGTCATGTACTGTATGTTCTTTAGCCAGCATATTTTATGATAGCAGGACATGCGGGGAAATCTCAAATCTCTCCTTGTAAATCTGAGAGGAATATGTCATGAAAACTTTATAACAAATTCTTTGAAGGCTGCATCCCTGTGTACCCATGACTCATGTACTGTTGCTGTGTGTGTGACAGATAAGGTCTGCATCCATACATGCGCAAAAGGTGGAAACCAGGTGTCAGAAGATTGACTTTGATTGAAGCAGTGGCAGAGTGATGGATGCAGCTGGACAGGAAAACTGGGACTACAAAGTTTCAGTCCCGTTAAGCTGCTGACACTTTTCAGTTCATCATATTTAAAAGATCAATGGCAGCCATCTGACTCAAATACTAACGAAAGTCAGATCATTAAACTTTTGGGAAATGAGGACAAGTCATTGATTAAATTATTTATGAGGCTAATTAATCTCTTAAGGGGGGACTTCTCTCACTATTGGGCATTGAGGCATGAGCAGACCATCTTTAAAAGGGACGACATCAATCACACGATGTCCGGGCAATTGTGTGTGACAGTGAACAGTAAAGTACCTGAGCTCCACCTCAGCGCCGCGCCCGCAGGCAGCAGATTAATTGAAAAATTTTAAGACCACCACTAAAGTCTGTGAGCATGCTGGAGTGATCGATATCACACAACAGCGATGGAAAAAAATATGAACGACAGCATCGGGTATGAAGGGAATTGTGCGTTCTTATCAGCACATAATGTTTCTGTGCAACTCGTGCAGCTACTTTTACTGCAGCCTGCAAGAAGGAAAAGGAAAAGTCACCTCTTGTTAGAAGACAACAATAAGATGTCAAAATCTCTTTGTCTTTCAATCGTGTGTCGCCAAAACTGCAAAACAAGAGAACCAGCTGTAAAATGTCTATGGCCTAAAATAAGCTACACTATTTGACAGAACAGAAAGAAACTGACCATGACATTTCGTAAACAAGTAAAACTACGGCATGTCATAGAGGCAGCAGATGCACTGAAACTAGACTGTCCAAAAGATTGAAAACAAATATTTATTTCTGACTGAATACATGCACTCAAAATCAAATTGGCTTGTTTAAAAAAAATTGAAAAATGAAATTGCAAAGATGTAACAGAATTGTACTTGTGATTTCTTCCCCATAAATAACAGCATTCTCTCTTATTTATAACAGTCTATAGGTAAGCATGATTTTTTTACTGCAGTGGAAGATTGACATCTAGTACATAAAAAAATCATGGTCATTATCAGCTCTTACTCTGAGGAGATAAGATTGATGATATTCTTTGAATACAATTAAGTGACTTTGACGAAGCCGTCAGCAGTCAGAAATAATCTCATAGAATCACAAAGGAATCCAGTGAGAATAATAAACACCTAATGATTGTTAAAGTTCAAGAAATTAGGAAAAAAATAACATTCATAAAGGAATTCGACAAAACCAAATATTTATAAAAAAAAATAAAATCATTGTAATATTTTTGTTATGAAGCTACAAACTTAATAAAAAAGAGATTTTCAAGATCAATAAACGTTATCGTCTACCACATAGTGACAGGAAACTACCTTTGGTTAGAGGCTCAAGTAGCATAAAAACATTCACACCCATTAGACTCACATGAAATCTTATAAAGTTTCATAAAAAAGTTAAAAGCACATCAAAAAGTGTTTCTCTAGCCTGTGATAATAAAGTGGTAATAAAAGAGTTTCTGTACGTTTGCGTAAAGACAAAATATCTGAAAACAGGACGGATTACTTGTCAATTAAAGAAACTTAAAATAAATTGATACTAGATTGGAAGCATATGATGATATCTCATCAAGATCATTAAAGGCCTACTACTTGCGGAGCAGATTTTCAGACCAAAACAAACCCTCTCATTGGACACACCACCGTAATCCCTCAGCTCCCCCCTCCCCTCCTGCCTCCACAGCTCCCTCCCTTTCTGTTTCAACAGCAAATTTCAGTGAGATAAAGAGCAGCAGACAAGCGCTGATACACATCTGAAAACAAGATTCTTCAGTGAAGTGACAACATGTATCTCTAAGGTTTTTCTTTGGTAATATGAGAGGCCTTTTAGGCCTTACAAAGTATTTCCTTCGGTTTGGAAAGTCTGTTGGTTCTGCTTCGGTTGTACTCTTATACCTCCGTTATTACGCCTCACAGAACCCTGAGTGGGCGAGGTTGTCTCCCTCTTCCCCCATGTGGTGAAAGAGTGAAGGGTTGGACAGAGAGGGATTCACACAAAACAACAACATGCATGAAATAAGTTAGAGCCTCTGAGCGAAACTTAAACAAGCTTAAGGAAGTGTTAACACAGACCTGAGAACAAATAAACTCTGAGGGAGTTTGACGTCACTCTCCATTACTCCACAATACATTTTCACTATATTAATATTCAGAATGTCACACATTGTACTTTTAAAAGGGCAAAAAAGTAAAATATATAACAAAAAAAACGTATGTTCATAAAAAAAAAAAAAAACTTTTTTTAAAACGTTAAGTTAAGTTAAGTTATTTCCTCGATTTAACCCTTTCCCTGCATTGAGGCTCTTGCGTTCTACTGAACTCAGTCAACATTGCACCTCTTGTGTCTCCTCCTATCAGGTGATCCCGTGCAGCATGCATCCTACAAGAGAAAATGTTAGAAAAGAAGGCGGAATGAAGACTCACTCTTTGGAGAAGAAACAGAAAAAGGAAGAAGAGACAAAGCATAAGAAGACAAGATGGACCGTCATCTGATAACCTGTTCATCAGTTTTTTCTTGGAGAGTAACTGATCAGTCATTTTAGCCATGGCACCACATATTGTGCTTCTTCTTCTTTTGTTTTTCAAAGAGGATAGAAATGGTGCCGTGCTAGCTAATGGTGTTTTGGAAGAAGAGCAGGATTTACCAGTGACATCAAGTAGAACACAAGCTTTACCTCGTCTGGAGAACTTTTCTGGAAGTTTGGAAGAACTGGCAAGCCCTCAAAATGTGGCTTTTAGACTTAATGACAGGAAACGTAATGATTCTGACATTAGGGACAACATAAGGAGGCAAACAGTCATGCTGAAACACCCTGAATCTGCTGCCAAATCCATAAAACCTAAACATAGCCGTGAACTCGCTCTGAACCGCCAGAAAAGAAGCAATTTGACTAATGGAGAGCTTGATGGTGTAATTAATGCTCCCAGTCATGATGAGACGAACGCTCTTCAGACTGAGACACACTCGGAGGCAGGTGTGGATGAAGTTGTGCCTGAGAGGACAGAAAGAGGGTCTAACTGGGTCACGGGGGATGAGGACGGTCGGCCGGAGCTTCAGGCGGAGCCTCGCTCTCGCCACAGGAGGAGCTGGCTCTGGAACCAGTTCTTTGTGATCGAGGAGTACAGAGGGCCTGAGCCAGTACTCATCGGACGGGTGAGTTTTAACACAACCTGTGATTACATGCACATGATTAGATGGAATTTAATATGGGCCATTTGGAGCGATACAAGTATATTTGAAGAATATCAAACCTCCACAGATCAAGTATACTTTTCACAAATCTTAATTATTAACCTTGTTTGTAGTTCAACGTGTTGTCTCTCTTTCATAAAACATCAAGCTCATTTAAATGTTGAAGGAGGTTGTCTCTACTTGACAGCTTGGTCTAAAAGATTGGACAGCTTGGTCTGTAAAAGCAGTCGAGTAAGAAAAGGATTTAATTATTTTTTATGGGAAAAGGGAAGCGACGTTAGCAACTCCACATGCAAGGTTAAATATTTGATAAGCTTAAAGTTGAAATAATTTGATTTATATACTTAGTTGTACCATGTCTCCACACAGTGAGAAGGTTACTGGTTCAATCCTGACTGGGGTCTTTCTGTGCGGACTTTGCATGTTCTCCTGAGCACTCGTTGGTTCAACAGACTGTATAAAACATGGACATAGTCTCAGTGATGTCACCTGTTGGTTTCTGAAGAGGCGTTATGAAGCACAATGATGGTGGTTGCAATATTTGCTATCACCGTCCTAACTTGGATTAATTTAGAAACAAGCAAAATGGAGTGAAGGCCTCAGCAAACAGCCTAAGCACACAACCTGTAAGTCAACTCAGCAATGCCCCAAATTATTACATTTATGAATAACAGTTTTAAACGAAAAAGGAAATGAGGGATTGATACCAAATCCGGTTAAAAAAAAATATTGCCCCTTTGTTTTCTGGACATGTAAACGTGAGACCTAAAGGAGATTGCTTGGCCTTCATTTTGAGACAGCTTCAAGTGGACACTTGAGGAACTGCATTTTCTGGAGGTTGCTGCTTCGTTGTATCTCTTGGGATACTCCTGCTTCCTCCCACGGCATGAAAACATGTTTGTTAAATTAATTATCCATACAATAAGTGTGGGGGGGAATGATCGTCTGTCTTTATTAGTCAGCCCTGACATTGACTGGACAAACTTGTGTGTGCTCGCATGAAGCTGAGTTAACTTATAGTTTAACTTGTCAAACATTAGACCACTGCTCATTTTGGTTTGGCTTAAGCCCGCTGTACACTGTATGACTTTATAACACTTGTGACAGCTCACACACGCACTAAAGCTCATGATTTATGTGCTCACACAACATGACTTGGGTGTTGGGCACGTTGTGAGAGCTCACATTTCTTTGTCACTCTTCAGACCCGCTAGGAATAGGAACTATAGGAACTTCTTTTGCAGTGAAAAATGTAATTGAAACAGTACAAGAAGAGAACAAACTGAGAAAGTCAAGCCATACAATGTCGAACTAATGAGGCAGAGCTTCTGCACCAAAAAAAATAATTTAATTGGCTACCTTGCTGATAGTGAGCTACACAGCCAAGACACCATTTACATTAATGAAGTTCCTTTGATAAAACAAGTCGCCCCAAGAAAAAGTGCACATTTTTCACATTGTTGAATCATTTTCAAGTCTTGTCTTTGCATAAATATGCACAACACAACACTACCAGTACTAATACTGAAACTCGATATACTAAAAGGAACAATATTGAGCTGAGAAAATTATTGTTAAAAATAACAGTTTTTAAGGTCTGAACCTTTATAACTGCTGTAAATTAATCGTACTATAGTGGTGTTATCAGCTCACTCTCACCCGGGTGGGAGAGAAAAATATGCTGCTCTCAACCCGTAAAAGCATGTGTTAATCCACCACTTGAACCGTGCCTGACCTGCAAACCACCTACTTTTTCTATATATTAGTGTTCTTGTCAGCGTGGAGCTCCACAGTGCTCTCGGAGGAGCTGGCATCTGCTGGGAGAGAGCAGTCAGAGTGCTTTCTGTCTCTGCTACAGCCTCCCACTGTAGCAGCAGCATGCAGGCTAAACAAACACAAAATGTTTAACTTGGCCCGCCAACACATTGCCCTCAGTGCTTGATCACGGTCTGTGAAATCAATTAAAGGTCCAGCCGGAGCAAACGCCTCGCAATGTCAGCGCCACCTGGGGAAACTATTGTTATCATTTACCATCTTGCAGTTGATCAATTTAGCATTCCTTTTATTTATTTCCAGATGAGCTAGACTAATGTTGCCTCGCTAACTTAAAACGTAGCTTATTGATCGACTATTTAGAGCATCAGCACCACACTAAAAGCTGGTCCATTTTGCTGCACGTCTATTGTCTGTCTAAATATCAAGCAAAAATTAATCAAAAGTCAGGAAGGAATGTTCTATTGATATGATTATTATTTCATGGTATTGTACAGTCTTGAACTTTTGCATTACTATACTATTTCTTCTATATTGTTTTATACTTCCTTGCTTCAACGCAGCCCTTATGGTTCCATTTTTATCCCCCACACTGTAAAATCTGAAAGTGCTTTCACACTTGCATAAACTCCTGAAAATCTCTTGAAGCTTACAAGCTGAGCTGCATGTGTGAATGCAAACAGACACATTTTTCACTCTCATCTCGAGAAAGGGAGAGGGGGTGGTGAAGTTTGTTCCCTGGGATTAATGCACAAGAGATAGATTGCATGCGTGCGAACCATTGTGATCTCCGTGCACTTAATTAAACTGCATTGTGTTTTATGTTCTCCAGTATGTTATTCTCCGCTGTTTTGTTGATGATGTGATTTCTTTGAACTACAAGTAGCTTGGATACGAAGGCAAATATTCTCATCATGGCATCGTATAGCCGACTCTGTTGCTTTGTCCACCACTTTAGTGTCATCCTGAATATCTGAAAACAGCTTTAGCAAGATTATTTGTTGAATTTCTAGTCAAAAATATCTCATTACAAATAATGGAAGCTACATTAACCAGATAAACATTTTACTTAAAGATAAAAAAAAATAAGGCCTGAATTGCTGGTAATAAGCAAAATGATCCACCAATGCAGAAAGCAAATGTTACTTGTGGAGTGTCTTCAGCTGCGATGTTTGCATCTTAATTAGTTTACATCTTATTTCAACACACTAGCTGCAGCAATGCTGCTTGCTTGATTGGCAGATGTTTTTACTTATAATTAATTCAACCCTTATTTTGTACCTTAAAATGAGATATTCTTCTAGACTTAACACAAGTGTTTTCAGATATTTTGACTAGAAACTAGACAAATACACTTGCTAAGATTTGAGTTTTGGTGGTGCAAGTTTCCCAGAAGCATTGTAAACGAGAGCTCTCCCTAAATGTGTTTGCTGAGTATTCAAATAAATAAATGATGATGACGATGATAGTGTGCACACCAGAGCGCTTTAAGCTCTCATCGTAGAGCGCGGCCTTGATTAAAATATTTCTCTCTCTCTGTGACCACTCTGGGCTCAATACTTAAAGACCAAATACAGGAAGACCAATTCTTCATTTCACTAAAATAATATTCTATGTGCCTTCAGAATATCTCTGAATATCCCATGGACTGAGGCATGGGTATGACTCAATCTAATGGCAGTGTTGGTACACACTTGTCATGTCGTATACTTGACTTTTTACTGTCGCCACACCAGCAACCTCACACTGCTGTCAGTGTGGAAACATGAAAAGTGCCTGAGATGATTTAATCCACTGCACACCTGAACCACTCGGGTCCTGGGGGGGTTTTACTTGTAGCATTTCACAGTCAGGCGCTTGCCGCTAATGCAGCCGCTGGCAGCTACAGCACACTCGGAGTGGGATTATATCAGCTGTAACGCTAACAGGGAACGCTGCCAGCCACTTTGTAGCTAGCAGTATACTTTATAGTGACAGTCTAGATTGGATTCTTACCAGTGCAGTATACACCTCATAAATGTTTAATCTCCCTCTCTGGTTGTTATTGATACAGTCAGGGAGGGGTGTTAAAGCAATCAGTAGACACACGAGACCGCTCGTTCCTCTGCATGCACACTCTTGATGTTGATATTCTTGCAATAAAGCTTCTCTGCATTCGGGGTGGGGGGGGGGGTGGTTAAAAGCACAATTTCTCTCAGAGGGGGCTCCATTTTTTTTGCCACAAATGGAGACGATCATGTCAAAGTATTTTCCAGTGCATGGTTTTGAGGTTAGTTATCAGCAGTTCAAATCACAGGTGCTTCAAAAAAGGAAGAATTTATCTGCCAAAGAAAGCAGATATAAACCCAGAGGTGGATGTACCGCATGAGTGAGAGGAAGGGGGGGGGGAAATGGAGATTACATACAGAGTTGCAGAAAAAGTGACAAAAGAATTGGAGAAGACAATTTCTTCTTTTCCAGCTTTGTTTGCACAGGGTGGATAAATTTTCTTCCCCACTGTGAGAGAGTTTTTCCACGCTGACTGAAGCACAGCAGGACTGAGCCGCAATTAGGCGGTGAGGAGAGGAGGATGGAGTGATGGTGGGGGGGCAAAGAGCAGGAGGGGCTGCGCAAGAGGCACCGACAGAGACGTCTCTGGTGGTGAAGTGTGGGATCAGAATCAAGGCTAGCTTTAAGGAAGAAAGGAAGGAGAGGGATGTGGGTGTTGGGATGAATAAAAAAAACCCTGAGTCTCTTATCTAGCAATTTGTAGGGTATGCTATCATGAGTTTCTATAATCCCCAACTTTATCCTCCAAGACATACACACAATCACACACACACCAAACACTCTCACACACACTTATCTTATATTTCCTCGCGGTCTGTGTGTGCATGCTGTGCATAATGTTTTAAATGTTCTTAACACGCATTATTCAGGAATGTATAGATACGTAATGTAAGCATCTGGCAGGGATCCTCTGGAAATTTAAATTACATGTATAAATGTAAACATGATATTAAAGTTGAGTCTCATTAAGCATCCTTGAAAATGTGAGTGAGAATAAATGTTCAGAACTGTGAGGGAACTAAACATCTAGTTTTTGTTTTGCAACTGTTTCCCATTGTGTTGGCATGGACGATCACAATTTGATTGACAGCTCCACACATAACAATGGCGTATGTGACAATCTGAGTGGTCCGTCCGAA